GTGAGAGTGCTAAAATACATCAGTTCTTTCAGAAAAAGTAACGCTTATGCTGTTAACCCCTTTAAAGCTCTAGTTTTCCTCAATATTTATTTGACATACGATAAAACATTGCCCTTATGACAGACAGATCTGTATCTGTGGGTGAAAGAGACAGATAGATGTAATAGATACAGCTTATTGCAGCAAGCGAAAGACAAACAATCTGCATTGCCCAATATGTTTCAGTAAATCTAATAGGAGGGTTGAGGGAGATAGCAAGATTATCTTGACAAAGATTATTTGTTGCTAAACAGACTCTTCAATGTTTTCCTCAGTCCTGACACACAAGCTGAACTGCTCCACCCAGGGCCTTTCCATTTGTTTCATGGCTCAGTTGATTTCGATGGGTTTATTGTGAAGCAAGATTTATGGAGCCCCAGGAAGGAATAAAATGAAAAACTTCCGTTCCCTATGTTCCCACAGAGGAGACCCCCATGTCTGCTGGTGGTGCTGGTAAATGCTCTGGGTGGGGGATCTGGCTTTCAGGCCCCATGATCAAACCATGCCCTCTTTGCAGTCCCCGATGGGAGAAGTGCAAGCGGCTTTGCAGGTCTGTCCCTCAGGTTCTGTTGTCTTGAGCTGGGGAAGCAAGAGCGTCTGGCTTCCTAACATCATAAAACGAACTTTAAAATCAGTTGTTTTTCAAAATAAAAATGTCTAGACTTATTTTTCCTGTAGGAATTTTAAGCTCTTCTGGGCAGTGTGGCAGTATTAGCTCCATGCTTCCAGAGCGCCAAATGGCTCGTGCAATAGCATGCTTCCATCAGCAGGAGTTTTAAGAAAAATGCTGTAAATCATGGGACTCAGAATAAAATCACAAATGTTGGTACCATTTCTTCGAGGCACATCTCCCTGTCTTCCTTCTCATCTGCCCTGTAGCTAGATCTTGCTGCCAGAGGACAGAGGGTTTGTGTGAGGGCAGTGGTCTGGCTGGCAGAACACTCTTTCTGCAGGATCCTGCTAGCTGGGTTCATCCTGGAATTACTCTGGCACTTTCAGCTTGCCATGGCCCTGCAAGGGTTTTCGTCTCTTCTAGCAGCAGTAGCTCTGTTGTTAGAAACAAAGCAAATCCTGATCACCATTGAAGGAAGGAGCAGATACGCCCTGTGTTTCAACATCTGAAACCAGGCCCATCAATCTGAAACTATTCCCCACTCCTAGTGCCAACAGCTCTATTGATGACTATGCTTCAGAAAGAAAAGAAATTGCTTTTCCCCTCACTGTAATGTCAGCCCACCATTTGGAGACTCCCCCGCATCTTCCTTTTCACGCTGGAGGTGGTGCGCTCATCTCTGTGACCTGCAAGCATCTGCTTCCCTGGTTTTCCGCTTCATTGCATCTCTGTTTAGACACTGCAATGCCCTGTCCCACATACTAATTACTGACTTTTTGCTTCTGAGGAGCTTGATTCATTCTGGCACATTTTCCCATGTGAAACTGGACCTAGAGCCTTGGAAAATATCTTAATGGACATCAGAGCAAGTCTGAGTTTAACCCCAAACTGGCTGCTGTATGTGAGCTAAAAGGCACATCTTTCATGCTGAGACTGTGGCAGTATGCACCTTCCTCATGTGGAATGCTTTGCTTCACAATATCCCTCTGAAACGAGGGCAGCCCTGGCACTGCCTGGCAATGCTTAGGGAGGGGAAGTGTTTGCACAGGCACCACCTTATCTCAGCCATCCTGGCTGCCCTCCGAGTAGATGCTCTCGCTTCTGTGATTGCAGCAAGTGAATGATCTGTAAGAAAATGACTTTTGGTTTTTCTCACCGTAAAGCTCTTGCTGTTTCCCAGAGGAGCAGTTTCTGTGCAGGACTTGCTGCTGCCAGGAACTGAACGGCCTCTGGGAGGACAGACCTCCTCAGCTCTGGCAGCAGCTCCGGCGAGGTCAGACTTTTGCTGCAGGCTTGTGGTCTGCTGAGGCTGCTGGTTTCCCCAGAGGCTTTCGCTTGTTCTCCTGCCTCCTTGACAGTGCTGCGGGAGAAATGCCACCTTGTGCACCTGCCTGCCTTGAAGGAGAGCCCTGGTGTGAGGCAGTTTGGGGAGTTTTAGGGTAGATGAGTTTAGATCAGTTTCTGCTCAGCAGTTCCTGCACTGCCGCTCGAGTTCATGATTACAAGAATGTCTTCCACCTCATTGCACTTGGTGGAGTAGCTCCTCTTTTGAAAAGGAGGCTCATGTATTTGCAGACTAAGCAGAGACTGCTTTCTGCTGCCAAGGGGAGCTGGGAAACCCAGCTTTTGGGGGAAGGAGGACTGATGATGGGGCAGAGGCACTGGGCTGAGACTTGGGAGAGTTGTGACTGATTGCCAGCTGTGCAAGGCACATCTTGTGTGCCCTTTTTGTCTCACCACATCTCTCTGCCTCAGTTTCCATGTGATTAACAGAGATTAAACCCAGTTTCTTTCCCTTTTATTTCCCTGCTACTTTCTAAGCATTTTTGGAGCAGGAAATGTCTCTTACTGTGTTTGGTAACTGATCTTTGAGTAAAAAGGTTTTGTCCTTAGGAGTCCTAAATGCTGCCAGTGTATAAATAAAAGCCATTAATGGCAGCCTGGTGATACAGCGGGCAGGAGGGCTCCCTGTCGCAGGGACTGGCCCAGGCTCTCTCTTCTTGCAGTAATTCTACCTGTCAGCCCTGATTAACTCAGAGTGCTTCAAAGGTTTGGCAGGAAGGGAGGATTTCCCTCTTTTCAAAATGAGTATATTAATTTTGTATTTCTGAAGTGAGTGCAGAGAAACAATCTTTGCTCATCTACTCTTGCAGCAGAGGCCTTTTGTTTAGATACTGAAGATAACTAGATACATTTGACCTCTATGTAATTCAAGTATCTTTTTTTAACCTCTCATAAAATAAAAGTTCTGTCTCCAGCTGAAAATGTATTACATCCTGGCAGCTTCAAGCACAGACCCAAGGACATGCTGCAGCCCTCCAAACCTTGTCCTCCACAGTGTGCTCAGGTCTCAGGCTTCCTTTTAGATGCACCTGATGAATCAAGGCAGCCAGAATTACTCTTCACCATAGTCACCTCTTAGCAGCTTAACCTCTTCACTGCTACACTTGAGACGCTTGAATTTCAGCAGAGTTTCACCATAATGTATTTGGTTCCCATTTTACCCTGATGGCTGTTTTTGTACCTTTGGCACATGGGATAATGATTGATTTATTTATACACTCAAGCTATTGGTGATGGCTGAAATTATTTTTTTTTTCCAGTTTCATAACATTTGACAAAAAACAGTAATGGAACAATGGAATTGGTATGAAACTTGCC